TCATACATTTGACCTATTTACTTTATAGTAAAATTCGGCTTAATGACAGCATTTTGCTAAAGCTCTTTATTATCATAAACTTTAACTCTGCCATGGCAATGTAAGGAGATTGTAACATTAACAAGTCATATACTCACCTAACCATCCTCAAACTTCCTTTAGAGAGTTTTGGGAACTTATTGGGTAAGTTATCAATTCTAACACCCAGAAGGACAAAGTTAGGCATTACAATATAGCAGGTTCAGAACCTGTACACGTAGCATGAATATATTTAGACATATATAATCTGAGCTGCCTAGTCCATGTCTCTGGGGAGCTGGGGTTTCTACCTTTGTGGGGAGTAGGCCAAAGGTTGTTGCTGGGTGATCACTCCTTCACTCTCCTATTTCTATGAAAGATATTGGACATGAATATATCGATTACACATTACATAATTGCATTCTAGGGGTTTGATGCTCTTTTTAGGTGTTCAGGATAAAGCCACTTTTTTCTGGTCCATAGGAGGACATAACATATATCCACCCAGAATGGGTAGGTAACAGCTTCATCTCTTGGTCATTTTAGCTCCCCTTCCACCAACCACTTGGTAAAAAAAAAAAATCAGAAAACAATAATGGGAAAATTATACAGATATTTTAGGTAACAGAACACAAGAGGAGGAGGTGGCCATTCTGTGATTTAGAAACAAGATGGAATCTCAGCTCAAATGAAGAGAGCAATCTTTTGCTTAGCACTCTGGGATACAGCACTAGGAATTAAGGGACATTTTGGGGGTGTTGACTCCTCCCCACAAGCCAATGGCTTCAGGGCCTCCCATAGGCCCAAGTCCATGCTTCCCCTCTCTTTCCCTTGTCTTCTCTCCCTGATTCTCTTGCTTCACTTTTGAGAGTCATATCTCTCTTGCCAATGCCATATACAGAGTCATAGTTACTCAGGAATTGACCAAATCTTCCGAGGGATAGGGCTATACAGGGGGCAGCTAGGTGGCTCAGTGGATAGAGCACCGGCCTTGAAATCAGGAGGACCTGAGTTCAAATCTGGCCTCAGACCAAACACTTGACACTAGCTGTGTGACCCTGGTCAAGTCACTTAACCTCAATTGCCTAAAAACAAAAACAAAAACAATTTAGGATAGGGCTATGAAGTAACAGAAACTTCTCTAATGCATACCATATTGCCACTCTATTACCTTTTTTTGGATCTCTTATCAGCTGGTTATATGATAGATTTTAAAAAGGAAATCCTAGTGTAAAGGAAGGAGAATCCTAATACAGCCAATATAGAAACTACTCTGAGAATAGCCATTAGAAATCATAAGCCATGATTTTATTTGCAGTTGAGCTCCTGATATAAATGTAACTTCTCTAGCAACACTAATGTGCTAATAATGTTTTCAAGTTGCTAGACTTCTAATTGCTTCTCTTCTCTGAGTGCAAATTATTTTTCCATGATGCTAAGTGCTTAAGTGTGAAACATGATTGAACTCTATAGCTAACATTTATATAGTGCTTACTATGTGCCAGGAACTGCCTAAGCCCTTCACAATCATTATCTCATTTGATCCTCACAACAACCCTGGGAGGTAGATGCTATTTTTATCCCCATTGTACAGATGAAGGAACTGAGGTAATCGGGGCTTAAGTGACTTGTCCAGAGTCATATAGCCAGGAAGTATCTGAGGCCACATTTGAACTCTGGTCTTCTGGCTCCCTATCTGTTGTGCCACCTAGTTGCAACTATTCCTTTAGAAAATGAATTCAGTTGACTGGTATTTCAAGGACAGAAAAAAAAAAGGAATGTTAATAAACAAAAATGAAAGGAACCAGGTCACTAGGAGCCACAGTGGATAGAAGGCTGGACTTGGGTCAGAAAAATATGAGTTAAAATCCAACCTCAGAAACTTATTAATTGTATTAATACTTATCAAACTTCTTACTATCTAAAAGGAAAATTGGGGGCATGGAAGATTAGAGAAAGAATTCCTAATTGTTCCAGTGATACAACCAAAAATATATTTCCTCCACATAAATTTTGTAGTCATTGCTTAGCAAATCGCACTCCAGGTGATTTTTTTTTCTTTTAAGAAACCTTTGTTTTTAGGCTCATCGAAAAATTTGGTTAAGTCTTCATGATTCTATATGTTGCCTTTCAGGGAAGGGAGTTCTTTCTTAATCGTCTCCAAACCTGGGCAAGTCACTTTAACTTCTCTCTACCTCAGTTTCCCCTTTTGTAATAGCACTTTCCTCCTAGGGTGGTTGTGAAGATCAAATGAGATATTTGTGAATCACTACATAAATGTTAGCTTAGCTATTATTACTGTCATTGAATTAATTACATATTAATTTTTATAAACTTTCAATTTTATTTTCTAATAATGCAATATTTTAGTTTGCATGAACAGAAATGTATTCTACGACTTGCTTGTTATTTGCATAAAAAGGTAATATAAGAATCATTGAAGTTGTAAGCAATTTGTACTTTATACAATGTATACTTTCTGCCAGTGAAATGGAAGATATGTAACATTCTATTAGTCTGTTTAATATTTTCTTAACCATTCCCCACTTGCTTTCTTTAAAGTGTTATTTCTTTTTCAGAAATTAATTCAGCCACCACTAACTATAATTCAGAGCCCTTCAGCCATTTGCCACAATATAAGGACAAGAAAGGTGTAAGTATACCTAGTATGTGAGACTGTTATAGAGATAAAGATACTCTAGGTGGCTCTGTGTTTTATTAAATGGAATTCCAGTATCTGGAACAAAAAGATGTTATGCAGGATGTAAGCTGATCATATAGAAAGAACTAACCCCTATTTAAACAGAAAAGACAATGATTAATAGTGCCTTTAAATTACTTTTATTTAGTTGAGTTTAAACACAGCAATAAAATTTAAAAACTAGCCCCTTCTTTAACAGATGGGAGTTGCAATAGCTCCTTCCTCCATAAAATACGAAATTCTTGGGTAAGCTGTCAACAACACAGAATGGTTTAGGAATAATTAACATATAACCCCCTCCCCTCAAAGGCAACATACAGAATCATTTAAGACCAACCAGATTTTTCAATGAACTTAAATGCAAAGTTTTTTTTAAAATCACACCGCATGCAACTTACTAAGCTATAATTACAAAAATTATGCAAAGAAAAAATATTTTAAATTGTATCACTGGAATTATTAGGGAGACACTTTCAAATTCTTTTGTCTGTCATGCCTAAAATTTTCTTTTTTTAGATACTAACCTTCCAATTTATTAAATGTTTACTTAAAAAGTAAATGATAAATTTGGAAAGTACTAACTTCCAATATTTTTCCACTTGAATGAATTCAAAGTTATCAACCCGCCTAGCAGATGCTAGAAGCATATCTGAAATCATTAAATCTCTTACTTAACTCCACCATATCCAATAGGTAACACATAAAATGGTGGTACAGATTTTAAAACTGCAACTGTGCTCATCTGAATGAAGAATTAATCTTCATCTCCCTATAAAAAATAAATCGAAGGTATACGGGACAATACCGATCCTTCCCTTACCCAAGATTTTTACTCTACAACACATCTCCCAAGTCCGAAAGCATGGTTTTTAGTTTGTTTATTTTTGCTTTTCCAGAAAAACTATTATAAAGATGTGATTTACATTTCTGCTAGCAAAATCTAAATTAGGCAATTAGATCGTTTTCTCGATTTTGGATTTCAAGAGGTGAAATACATTGATATAGGTGCTAATTTCAAAAGTTTGCACTCACCCAGTGTAAACAATTTTATCATTGAGTATTTTTGGAATATTGGGATATTTGGAATAACTAAACACAGGAAGACTTTTTAAAGTTTACTGAATAGTCCTATTGGTTTCTTCCAAGCTTGAAAATGGTCAAAGAACAAGGTTTTATTTGCCTCCAAATGAACGTGAAAAGTGAATCGTATCGTTTAGATTTAGAAGGCACAAACTCAGAAACAGCGTACCGGTTAGGCTCGCTTTTTTAAAGAGCGATACATTCTTAGTAAAAGGTGGTCAGTCGCAAAGTCCTGGGGAATTTTAATAAGGTCTCCTCCCCCTAATGGGCATTTATGTTTCTTAGACGAGATTTCTACGATGGTTCTAGAAGGTGTAGAGTGCGATAAGAGGTATAATCGGTCTGCTATCTTTTTGGAGGGGAGTGGTAAGTCAGCGCTATTTGCACAGTTAAACTAGCAGCTGGTTTTCCAAGTGTTAATCCTATCAGGAATTTTAAATAAGTGCCACTTCTACTTACACTGTCTCTTGTTCAAAGGTCTCTAAAAGGACTTTCTTTTCTTTTTCTTTTTCTCTTTCTTGCTTAAAAGAAAAAAAGGGGGGAGGAAAGTAAGAAGAGAAAGATCAAAAGGCCCCTGAGACCTCACACACATATTAATGAATTTTTTAATTTTAATTAAAGAATTTTACCAACCCGATAGCAGGCAACCCCAGCCCCAAGCGGCCCAAGGGGGTAGAAGTCGATTATTGGCAGAGGGTAAATCTAAATACTGTGAGGCACTGCACCCAAGGAAGAGTGAGAATCAGGAGGAGTAAAAGTGGGTTAAGATGCTTTAGGCGATCATGGCCACGAGCGGGAAGCGATTTTTAAAAGTTCGTGGGCTCGGATCTAGTCTCTCTCCCAGTCTCTCTTTCAACCTGGGGCTGGGGAGTAGTGGGGGAATACAGGGGAGCAGAGACGCAGGTTCCCTTGCTGCCTTCCGGGCACGGAGAGATCAGAGAACGGGATGCATGAGAAAGCTCGCGGCCGTCTGGCGCCCAGCTAGACTTGCTGGGCGGGACAGGGCTGGGCAAGGCGTGGTCTGGCCAGGCCCCCGCGTCCCCGCCCCCCAACTCAGCTCTGCGAGGCGCGGCGGGGCCTCCCCTATAAGGAGGCTGAGGGCGGCCAGCCAGTCGGAAGACCACAGCGCCCGTAGGTGGCCCGTTGAGGGATGCTCTCTGCGGAGCGGCGAGGCCAGCCCCGCTCCCCTCTGGCCGCGGACATGGCCCTCTACTGCGGCGACAACTTTAGCGTGTACCCGCAGGCAGCCGCCGCCTCCTCCAGCGCCACGCAGTCCCCCAGGGCTCCCTACGCTCTTCCGGATTACGCTCCGCCGCCGCCCACCGCAGCTAACCCCTACCTGTGGCTCAATGGGGCGGCCGGCGTGGGGGGATCCTCGGCCGCCGCTGCCGCCGCTGCAGCCGCCGCCGCTGCTTACCTGAGCCCCGGACCGCCGGCGCCCCCGCCGCCGCCGCCACCCTCCGGGGGCTCCGCTGGCCCATTCCTGCAGCCTCCTACGCCGCCCGCGGGACCCTTCGGCTGCCCGCCACCTCCGCGTCCCTTTGCCCCCGCGCCCGCCCCGCCGCCCCCGTCTGGCCCCGGGCCGGGACCTGGCTCGCCCTCTGGGGCCGCCGCTGAGCTGGGCTGGCTGTCGCTGGCCAGCCAGGAGGACCTGCTCAAGATAATGCGGCCGCCCTACTCGTACTCGGCGCTCATTGCCATGGCCATCCAGAACGCGCCCGAGCGCAAGCTGACGCTCAGCCACATCTACCAGTTCGTGGCAGAAAGCTTTCCCTTCTATAAGCGCAGCAAGGCGGGCTGGCAGAACTCCATCCGCCACAACCTCTCCCTAAACGACTGCTTCAAAAAGGTGCCCCGCGACGAGGACGACCCCGGTGGGTAGCTGACACTTCACCAGTCCAACACGGCTGGCGGTCTGGGCTGGGGGAAGGTAGAAGCTCGGGGCGCGCGGAGACGGGGGAGGCCAGGGCGCTCGGAGGGGAAGGGGGCGCGTGAGAATCCCACATAAGGCGAAACACGCGTGAGAGTGCAGCGGGTGAAGGGAGTTGGAGGGAAGCGTCTGAGAGCTTCGGGACTGAGAACAAGGAGGCTCTAGGAGGGGGCGAGACGGAAGGCGTGAGGGAGCGAGGAGCACAGGTGCCTCGAGGCGAGCTCTGGGATCTGGAGGGACGCAGACTGTAGTGAGAGAACGCGTGGAGTGGGGGTGGGGGAGTTCAAACGCCGGACCGGAGGTGCATGTGTGGTGGAAGTAGAACCCGGGAAACCAGGGAGCTGGAGGGCTCTTGAAGCGGAGTGGGCGTGGCGCCAGGCACTGGTACTGGAGCACCTTGCCGATGGGAAAGGGTGCTTACAGCGGGACGGAGGCGCAAACGCAGGCACGGAGACTCAAACTCAACAGGCAGTTTTGGGAGGGGTAGAGGCGCTAGGGCCCTTGGAGGTGGGACAGGGGACAGGAATAGGGGGTACAAGTGCTTGAGCCCCCTAACTGCGAGGTGGTCAGGGGCCATGAGATGTGTGGGTGCTGGGACTATGGGCCATAGACATGTGGAATTGAGCCTTCTTCCACTGTAGGCAAGAGGGCTTCAGAGAAGGCTAGGGAATTCATTGGCCTAACCTTCCGTCACACTCGGGTCTGAGTGGGGACGTTCGTATAGAAAGGAACTTGAAGAAACCAGTATATTAGGGTAAGGGACAAAGAGGGTTTTTGAGAAAGAGAAAAAGGAAAAGGGCTGTCTTAGGTGGAGAGGGGAATGAAGAGGCCTCAACTCTCCAGGGAAGTGGGAGAAAAGGCCAGTGACACTTCAAAAGAGAGCCGAAGCAGTCCCTTCAACTCGGATATAGAAGGAAAAGGAGACACTGACCTCCCCCATCTCTCTTTCTCCCCCAAAAAATTTTGAAAGACGGTAGAGTGAGAAAGCAACCTTTGTTTGACTTCCAGGCAAGTGAGAAGAAAGAAGGGAATGCGACCCTCTAAAGGGGGGGGGAGGAAACGGCCCCTGCTAGCCAAGGAAGGAAAAAGGGGATCCGTGCACCCAGCAAAAAGAGGCTAAAAGAGGGGACCCCAATATTCTTACATAAAGTGAGAGAGAAAAAGAAATGAGGCATCTTTTTTAATTAGGAAGAAAAGGAGGCAGCTTGTTGAGAAAAATGGGAATGTTGTATTGAGTTGGGAACAGAATGGCTGGGTAGGGCAGCTTATGTTAGATGTAGGGGACAGACTGTGGATCTAGGAGTGAAAAGCGATTAGGACAACACACATTAAAGGGAGAGGGCTTGGAAGGACGGCTAGTACTGCCAGACAAGGATGAAGCAGATTCTAGGTAGGAGAAAGAATCAACTGGCCAGTGATTTGTATGGGTGAATCCTGAAGTAATAGCCACCCCCCTTTTTTTAAGGGATTCTGACCTGTTGAGGCAAATCATGTACTGTGCAATGTTGGGGGGAGGGGAACTTGGTAGAAGAGTCTATATATAAATTTGCCATTAGTTCTTATTGGTTATTACCCTTGTAAAGGAGTTCCACTATATCCTAACTGGGAAAGAGCATACCACCATGCAAGAGTTGTTTAAGTGGTAGTGGAGTTAGTAGAAAGAGTTGTAGTTCCAGGGCAAACGATTGTGTCTTTCTGCGAGTTACTATCCCCCTAACATTTTGCTCAATAGTTTATATTTAGATCATAAATCTATCCCAGTCTTTCTTTGTCTCCCCCTCCCCATCTACCCAAGTCCTGCTTGCATAATGTGTGCAGTTATATGCACACCCTATATGGGTTCTTACCTAATGCCTGAGCCCCAAAAGGTTAGATGAGTTGAAGCAAGCTGATGAAGAATCCTGGGATGTTCAGAGATAGTCTGCCAGCAGACAATTTTGAAGTTTTTTTTTAATTGAATGTAAAAGGTACTTCAGACACTTACCTGAATGACTGAGCAAGTCACTTAGTTCTGTTTGCCTCAGTTTCCTCATTTGTTAGAGAAAGCTGGAGTAGGAAATGGCAAATCACTCCAGTATCTTTGCTAAGAAAACTGCAAATGGGATAACTGAGAGTCAAACACAACTGAAAAACAAAAGGTACCTGGGTGATTTCGCCTGTGGGACCTATTTACTGCCCATCTTCCTATAGATAAAGAACCTTGGGAAGAAACTGAAAACTCCACCCTCCTGGGGAAGGTACTGGGAGGGCTTGGGTGGAGATGGGGAAAGGTGGTGCTCGAGCTGATAAGCTAAATGTTGAAAGAAACTGGGGGTTCTAAGAGATGGAGATGAGGAGGGGAGAGCATTTTAGGCTGGAGGGGGACATTACAGAGACGGATGGAATTTTGGGTGAGAGATTGCAGGTAGAGCACCAGGATTTAACCCAAAGATGTAGGACTTTGTTTAGATGCCCTGGAGTTTAAGAACAGCCAAAGACTTTAGGAGTCAGCTGGCAGATCTTTCTCTTTAGTATGCACCACAGGAGATTTATCACCTGAGATTATCAGGTAGACTCCTGTGGACTTTATTTCACAGTGACTTTATGGCCCAGAGTAATCCTGATTATCCACCATTCTGCTGTAGTTACTTCTTATTAAAACACCTCAGTATTTAAGGAATGGCTCCTAGATAAATATTAGGTAGCAAGTTTTTGTTACTACTATTTTTGCATAATGAAAACAAAACGCTAAAATGCAGCGTTAGGCATGTTGGAGGTTTCAAAGAGTTAGAATGTAAAATCCTGTCTTTTTCAAAGCCTTTTATACCCTGAAGATGTTGTATACCAGTACAATGCCATTAATGTAATCGATGCTCATTATTGTTTCCTTGTGGTGATGGTGGCAAGAGAGATTTGGGTGTATGAGTTGTGCATTTTCTTCATCTTTAGGAGTGTAGATTTCCGTCCCTTACAGCTTGGTATTCCATAATTTCATGTGATCAGAATTTAGGGGGAAGGGGAAGAAAATAGGGACTTTTAACATCAGATACTGAAAAGGGTTGGGGGAAAACCCTAAAGGATAACCTTAACTTAGTTTAGTACTTGGAGTCAGAATCATCGATTTTCAACCACAAGCAAGTTCTTTATGACCTGAACTTCAGTTTGCTCACCCATAAAATGCAGAAAATAAAGACTTGGTGTTACTTATTCCATGGGGTTATTATGTGGAAAAGGGAAATAATATGTGACCCAGTGGAAAGAAGACTGATTTGTAGTTAGAGGATTTGGGTTCAAACCCTGTTTCTGAGATGACACCAGCTATCTGGGTGGCTTTGAACAAATCATTTAGCATCTATGGGCCTCAGTTTCCCCAGCTGTAAACAACAGGGTTGAATTGGGTGGTCTGAGTCCATTCTCTCTAGTCCTATGATATTGGATGAGAACCAGAACTCCAGAAGTGATCAATGAAAGTGACATTACTAACCAACTCTGCCCCAGAGAGGTGGGACCAACTTGTATTTAGAGCAACAGCCCGCAGCAGGTTCCCAGAAAGATTTTTGCTGAGCTGAGACTGCTCAAGAACTAGTCCGGCGAAGTTTAACATTGTCCGGGGCTGGCCACAGGATATGATGCCTCTATTGTGCTGTTAGAGGGGTTGCTATCTTCATGGGTGCTGGAAGTATTAAAGTCTTGTCATTTAGATTTATCTGGGGTCAAAGTGACTTGCCCAGGGTCACCACGCAGCCAGTAGGGGTCACACTCAGGTCCGGGGCGCCATCCACTGGGACAGCTAGCTTCATCACTCTGGTCTGGAAGAGGTGGGGGGGTAGTGTGGAAAGGGAACCCATCGCTGACTTTTTTTTTTTAATACCTCTCCCGCAGGCAAAGGCAATTACTGGACTCTTGATCCAAATTGTGAGAAGATGTTTGACAATGGAAACTTTAGGCGGAAGAGGAAACGGCGCACGGAACCCAGCAGCAGCAGCTCCTCAGTGGCCGGGGGGATCTCTAAGCCCGAAGAAGGAGGGGGCCCCGTAATAGTGGTGAAGCCTGAAGCTGGAGACAGCCCTCCGTCCCTCCTGGGCCCCTCCCCCTCCACTCCAGAATCTCCGGAGGAGCCCAAGAGCAGCGCCTCACCTCCCAGCGGCCCTTTACTGTCCTCCACCCCCTGCCTCAAGTCCTTCTTCAGCGGCCTCAGCAGCGCCAGCGGTGCAGGGAGAAGCCACCAACCCAGACACCTGGGGCTACCTGGCGTTCCCGCGGAGCTCTCCTCGCGGGGCCTCCAGGGGGCGCAGCGGAGCGCGGCCGCCGGCTTTCCCCCTAGCTCCCTGTCTGAGGCTCAGCCCGAAGCCTTGCACTTGGGCAGCAGTAGCAGCGGCAGCGGCAGCAACATCAGCAGCCCTCGGCCCTCCTCCTATTACAGCCCCTTCCCCACCAGTGGCGGCCAGGGCAGCCACTTCAACAATCCATTCTACAACAGCTTCAGCGTCAACAGCCTCATTTACCCCCGGGAAGGCTCCGAGGTGTAAGTCCCTCCTTTCCTAGAGGCAGGGGGCCAAGGTAGAGAGAGGCAGGCTGGGTGCCTCGTGTTTGTTGGTTGATGGGAGAAAAGGCTTTTAAACTTTTGAAATGTGCAATTAAAGCCAGGTGCGGTGCACAAACTGCTTCCTCTTTTCCTTCATCCCTAACAACCACTCAGCACAGGATAAGCAGAGGGTTTTGAAAATACACTGGATTAGTGATTGGAGATTTTCCTGGGGCAAAACCAAGACACAGTCTAGAGGAAAAACTCCCAACTTCCAAGACCCAAAGTGAATGTGTCTTGGGGGTAGGGAATAAGTAGTGGGAGTGGGAGGTCATGAGTCATGACATTTCGGGTGACTTGGACTGCTGGTTAATTGGAATATCTGTTGAACATCTTGGAACCCCCCCAAAAAAAATGAAGATGAGGGGACTTTGTGATGTTGTACAGTTTATTTCTTTAAACATTTCTTTGAAGATGTTGCCTGAAAATCAATACCAAAGATACTAGTGGTTCTCAGGCTTCCTTTTGTGCTTTTTACACGATGGATTTTAATGAACTTTTGTAGATACTGTTTCTATATGCAATTTTATATTTGTAAATTAATACAAGTTGTTCTAATTTATCATTTGAACAGGGGTAAAATTTATTTTTTTCCTTAAATAAAATGAAAATCGCTTTCACTACCAAGAATCTCGTGAAAGGAATTCTTCCTTTCTTTTCGTTGGATTTGCACTTTAGCCACTGTCACCTGGCATGGGGTAAGACCTGTGGAAAAGAGTTTTGCTTTCTGTCTTGAAGTCAAGATATTTCCTTCTTTCACCTAGCCCTTACCCAGGAACTTAATCCAAGGTAACTGTACTAAAATTATAAGGGCACACACCCTGAGCACTTATTGCTAAGTAGTACTGTGGTTTTGCCATTTAGATTTAGGATGTTTCAGTTTTAGCATCCTATTTATTTGAAGAAATTCAAGGAACTGTAAGACAAAGTCAGTGTTGTTTGTCCCCTGTATGCTGTCATCTCCCTGGAACTTGAGATGCTGGAGGGAGGGACTAAACTATCTTCAATCATTTAAAAAGGCGTGAGCTAAATTGGCCTGTTAAGGACAAACATATTGCTAGAAGATGGAGAAAGTGTTTGTTTACCCTCTGCTAAGTGGTTCTAAAGACTAATTCTGGCAGTTTTGGAGTAAGAATTGTATTGCATTCTTATTCAAAGTGGAGTTAAGGGAAAGGGGAAATAGAGATGAATGGAGATAATTATATTGTTTGGACCACCCTCATTGAAAATAACTAATGCCTTCTCATACCCACTTCACTCAATTGTGTTGTCATAAAGCATTTATTAAGCTCCCACTATGTGCCAGGCACTGTGCTAAGCTTTGGGGATACAAAGAAAGGCCAAAACAATCCCTGTCCTTAAGAAGCTTCACACTCTAACGCTTCAACTATAGGCTTCAATTTGTAGGTACTCACGGGGTGTTTTACTGAAGACCCACGACAAATAGTTTTCAAAATTTCGTTGATGGTTGTTCTAGCGTTAGTTAGATTTTCTTCTGAGGAATGGAGGTGCGTCCTCTAGGGTAAACCTTTTAATCTCTCCCTACCTCAATTCCTTCGTTTGTAAAATGGAGTTGTCCTGGAAGTTCCTTTCCATCTTTACCCCTGGGTGGGAAAAGAATGCTTAAAATTCTCTCAATCTAAAAAACGATAAAGGCACTTAGGCTAGAACGGGTGTGTGTGTGTGTGTGTGTGTGTGTGTGTGTGTGTGTGTGTGTGTGTGTGTGTGTAGGTATACAGAGGCGACGATCTAAGTGGAAATCAGATCTAGGTTAACTTCCATTAAAAAGCTTTCGATCTTTAACAACGGACCTGCCGAGATTTTTCATAGTCCCGACATTTTCGTCTGAGGAAATCTGGTGGGTCCGGTTTAATTCATTTCCACTCCTAAAACCCGACCCTGTGCGTTTTTTCCCTGGAGCCGAGCGCGTAATTGGCCCCCAGATAGCCGCTTGGTTCTGTCGGGGAGCAGCCTGGGTGACTCGGCTAGCCCCGGCTCCTCCCCTCTCTCCTAGGGCACCTGGGGCCCAGGTAAGTAACACAGCCCACCCAGCCCGAGGATTCTCTTTGCAATTCAAAGCGGCTGCCGCGGGGCCCAGGGAAAAACTCCAAACTCTTGAGTTTCTTTCAGATTAAGCCCGGAAGCCAGAGAGAACTGCCTGGGACCAAAGAAGCAGGTTACCTAATTTTTAACACATACCGCAGGATCCATAAATGCGGAACGGGTAAAGACCTTAGAGGCAATTACTTCGTTTTGCAGAGGAGGAAACAGGCCCAGAGAGGTTAAGTTACTTGCTCTGGATCACACAACCAAGTGTCCGATGCAGAATTTGAACACAGGTTTTCTGACTCCATTAAGTGCCCTAATCCTTATACTTATGCCTCCATCGCCTTTCGTTAATCCATCCTCTCCCACCTCCAATAAAAAGTCGAGGCGCTAGAGGATTTGGAATCTCCAAAAAGCTCTAACCTGGAGTTTTATTTGTTTTGCTTTTTTGGATGAGGCAATTGGGGTTAAGAGACTTGCCCAGAGTCACACAGCTAGTGAGTGTTATGTGTCTGAGGCTGGATTTTAACTCAGCGCCTCCTGACTCCAGGGCCGGTGCTCTATTCACCGCACCACCTAGCTGCTCCCTAATCTGGGTTTTTAAAAACACCTTTCTCCCTCCCCCGAGGTTCTCAAGCACTCTTAAGGCTCTGCTTCCTCTCCTCGGAGGTTTGGCTACCCCTTTCTTTATAGAACAGAAGAGTAGGTTTCCTCCTAGCTCCTCTATTAAGTCTACTGGCACCCGCCGGGGCTGGAAGGCTCCCTTCTCTCCTTTTCTCTTCCCGCCATCCCACTGCCCTACCTGGCGGCAAGCTCTCTGCTTCCCTTTTGTCATGGAAAACTGTCTGGCTCAGATGCCTTAAGAGTCCAACCTGAATGAATCCTCCTGGGATAGTGTGGGTGTGTGCGCCCGCATGTGTGTAAGAGTGTGTTCGTGGTGGGTGGGTCTCTTCTCACCCAGAGGGGTTTGGCAGAGACGCCAAGGGTCCCTGCGGGTCGGGGCAGGGGGCTGACGCCTCCCCAGGGACCCTCAAAGGTCTGAGCCACCTGCTCTGGCTAGCGTTCTGAAGCTAATAGCAGTAACTTACATTTGTATAGCGCTTTACCCGGTACCAGATGTTATCACATATATCTCATTTCTTAAGAGCTGACGCTTTGAGGTTTGCAGACGGTTAGCTCGTTTGTTCCTCAGATAGCTTTGTTAAGAAGCTGATGTTACTGTCACCCCCTTTTTACCTGTGAAGAATCGAAGACTTAGAAAGGTTGATTGACCCCAAGTCATAGGCTAGTAAGTGTCTGCGGTAGGATTCGAACTCATCCAGGACCAAAAATAAAATCCTTTGGGTAGTGTTTTAATCTCTTCACAACTTGGCCTCTTCCTTTTCCTCCAGCTTTCTTACACCTTACGCCTGCCTTTTCACTCTGTGATCGTGCTACGAAGTCTTGCTTAGAGTTTCTAGGACACCACACCCCATCTCTCTCTGCCTTTGAACTGGCTTGCCCTCATATCTAGAATGTTCTAGCCCCTCCCCTCTGCCTCTTGGCTTTCTTAGCCTCTTTCAGTCTGTCATGCAGTAATTCAGTCCTGTCTGCCTTCAAAACTTCTGGACCGTAGCACCCCAGGCCTTTCTGACCTCCACTATCTCCCAAAATCTGTCCAAGCTTACTGACCATGGGGTTTTCTTGGAAAAGATTCTGGAGTGGTCTGCTATTTCCTTCTCCAGTGCATCACCTTTTGTCAAAACTCTACTATGACCTGTCTGTCTTGTGTGACCCTGCATGGCAGACCTCATAGTTTCCTTGAGGTATAGCAGCGATCCAGGGGGTGCAGCCTCTTTCAAGTATCAGCTCAAATCTCACTTTCTAAAAAAAGCCTTTTCTGGGGCAGCTAGGTGGCACAAGTGTATAGAGCTCCTGCCCTGGAGTCAGGAAGACCTGAATTCAAATCTGGCCGCAGACACTTGACACTTACTTAGCTGTGTGACCCTGGGCAAGTCACTTAACCCCGGTTGCCTCACCAAAAAAAACCCCAAAAACAATTTTAAAAAAAGCCTTTTCGTGTTCTAGCTGCTAATGTTTGCCAGTTCTGGATTTCATTCATCTATTCTGTACATTATCTCCCTCATTAGAATGCAGACTCTTTGAGGGCAGGGCTCTGTCCACTTGCCAGTCTTTCTCACAGCAGCCCACTGAGGCTAGCATGTTAAATTTCTCATATGCAGTTGAGGGAACTGACAAAAGACAAAATAAGAGCAGAACAAATATGGCAACAAATCTAACCTTTTCTCACTGTCCCCAGCCTCCTGGAACCTCTTCTGTCAGCCACAGCTGTCTAACTACTACCATGTCTAGTCTACTCAGCAAGTTATAAAGTGATAAGGGAAGTCTGGGAGCTCAAAGTGCCCTAGCTATCATGATAGTGGTTCTAAGCTTATATTGAACAGGAAAGTTGAGCTGGTATGCAGAATGGAGTGCTGGCCTTGAATCAAGAAGATCTGTGTTCATATCTTGCCTGTTGTACAACTAGAGTGTTTGTATTCTCAACATGTAACAAAGTATCTGGTAAGTAGTAAGCTATTAATAAATGCCTGTTAATGACTTAGTTTCCTCATCAATAAAATAGAACTAATCCCCGAAGTAGTCCCTACCTCACAGGGTTGTAGTGAAGATGCAAATGCTGTATTATTGACTATTATATGATTAATGGGCTCCCTGTGGACAATTTCTACCATCTAGGGAGCCTTTCTATGGAGTATTTATTGGCTATCTTGTAAACTAGTTAGAGAATGAGGAGAAATGGGGTCTTTAGTTACCTTTCAAACCTCTCTCAATTTGGTGCAATGGCCTAGGCAGGTATTTTCAAGGATTAGATTGAGAGTGATTGATGGTATTTCTTGT